AATGAACAAGCGAAAATTGGCTACAACGAAATTTTTTTTATTCTAAGAAAATATTTTACTATGTAAATAACAACTACGTTCTTTTCAAATACGCCGGTACTCGGACAGACCTGCCCATTTGTGCAACAGTGAACACTGTTTCGTGGCCCTGCCATAATTCTAATGATATTAGTTCGAATAGCTTCACATTCAAACTTATTATCAAGTGATAAGTCGTACAACAAATCTGATTATAATTTGCATTTCAGGTATAGTCATTAATGTCATAATGAATGCTTATTGGATAATGAAAGGTTTTCATTTTCCATTTGCATCTCATTGCAGATTCATTATCGATAACTTTACTAAACTCACGTCTCGTTACAGAATCGACGAAGCCAATCACTGAACAACCCGACAGCGATAAAATAACATCGCGAAAGATTACTTCGTCGGTGACGTCGCGCATCTCTGCGGGTGAGAGTGGTAAAGAGGCGATTAGCTGCAGTTAGTTATTACGAATAGTACAAATGATACGTTATTAGTATTAATTTTCATTATAATTGCATGCTGCTACATCTAAATGACTGTCATTGTAACTGGTCACTAATATAAATTGCACAAGAGCCCCTCACACTTTATATTTTGTTTTGCTATATAAATCCTAAAGTTAAACTTACCTTATTAATAGTTCAATATCATCACGATGCCGATCGTTCAAACACGAAAGATTTCTTTGAAGGTATTGTAGTATTATTTCTCACTGGGCTTATTCAAAGTTATAATACTTATAGATTGTCAATCTGATTGATTTCGATGTTTGTTATCGATTTTTTGATAACATAAATAATTAAAGATTTAATTAAACCATTACGGAATTATGTACTTCTACACAAAGTGCCTTGCGGAGCCTGCCGTTGTAAGAAGCCAGAAGTTATAAACATAAATAACAATAGAAATAGTGACTTAGAAGTACCTATAATCACGAAAACTCGTTTTACTTAGCTGATAATGTTAATGCTTATAGAAATCTGATTTTTTCCGAGCCTCTTTACTCACCAAATAGACAGACTTGCGTCATTGATTATAACTCTAGATATTGACCAAAACTATAAAACACACACATAGTATCGTTACAGATTTTTGTCTTTTAAAAAAAATTATAGTTGGCTTTTGTAACATTTTGAAGCTGTAAATACAGCCTTCAAAACTTTTTTACCAAACAGAATGGAGCGGAGTAACAGGCGGACCGCCTGCCGAGGTGGTATTACGTCTGCACCCAACGTCATCCCCATCTTCGGGCGGCAATTTAACTTTAGTGGACATTGGTTGGTATACACGTTTACAAATAATGGCATGTTATTTTCTCGCACACGATTTAAAACGACCTAAATCTGACCAAACATGTTGATTTTATAAAACTGGACAACGTGCGTGCGCTAATTTAAGAAAAAATAACAACTGAGGAGATCTTCGATGACATAAAAAATTACAATAGGTATCTTGTTACTTCATATGGGGTCCATTGTGAAAAGTTAGGTGGCTGAATTAAATCTTGCATGAGAGAGCATCCAAGAAAACTCACTCCTGAAAAGAAAAGATTTACGACTGAAAAACATAGGCAAAATGTTTGATGTCTTCTTGGTAGACCGGAAATTGACTATCAAGGATTTCGCCAGTTCTCAATGCGGTTAAATTGCAATCTAGCATTCAAGCATCTATCTCTTAAAGGAAAATGAAGTTATGCAAAGTCAAGGTTTTATAACCTAACTAATAAAAAAAAGTCATTTAGAGTAGTTTTAATAGTATAAAGTGTCATTTCAAGCTTAAAGTGATATTTTAACGGTATTTCTGCAATCCACTAACTTCAATACCTGTTAACGTCCTTAATCAATAATGATTACATGTATTTACGAAAATACTTTATCTTGTTTCATAATATTATTCCGCGAACGTTTAAACTCACCGTATTTAGAATCAACCAGTGTAATTGTTTATTGTAGTAATGTAATGAAGTTTAAGGGGCAGATTTGTAGATTAATATCGCGTGTATATACGTCCATAAGATATGTCCAATCGAGATTGTATTCAAATCCATTTATGCGTTGCAGTGTGCAGAAATCTTTCGCTACCTTCAGAAATCCATGTCCGTAGTCCGGCAAAAATAATAATTCATCTAAACTCTTCTGTTGGACCGATGCTTTGATCTTAAAAAGACAATGCATTGCAGATGATGGTGGGGTTGTCGTTCGTGCAGAAGAAGCGCTAATAGTAACTTTTGTACTACTGTTGTGGGTGGCTGCGATCGCTCTGTTCTTCAACCGCTGGGGCAAGATAAGGTGCGTCTATAAGCTGTACGTAGTTCTCTATGCTTCCTAATATAATTGCTATGATTCTAACGCCCGGTTTCTTAAACACTGATCATCGTAGATGTCAACTAATCAGCTGTCAAATTAATTTCAAATTTAATTTTAGTTGCCGAAAGGATGATTAAAGTCTTTGAATTGATCATTCTTATCATAAAGAAGATCATTCTGGATGAAATTTGAACACTACTACAGTGAAATTTGAAATCCATTTGACAGCTGATTAGATGACATCTGCGATGATCAGTGTTTCAAAAACCGGGCGTTAATCTTAATAAATTTAAATCAATATGCAACTTCATTTTTGGACCGACTTCATGAACGAAGGCGGTTCTATATACAAGACGATTGTTCAATGTTTTATTTCCAAAATATTACAATCTACTATCGTACAAACATAAACAGCTAAATCTGAAATCTTATGAAGTATCTAAATTTTACACAAATGCCTGATGTTGCTAATGGTTTAGAATGTTTTAAAAATATTAAATAATGGTTTTATGTATTTACGCAATTACTAATAGTATATATAGTTAAATTATAAATATAGTTAAATTAAACTGTAGTAAATTTTTCTATTTTCCTGTTTTTGATTCATTTTGTTTTTAAATTTCTAACATTACAAAGACATGACAGGGTTCACGATCAGGAGACACAGAGAGTTATTTTAAACTGTAATGTCAGAGTCAACGCGGGGAATACTTAACGAAGTTACTGCAAATAAATTTATTCAGATTGACGCAAAGACCGTTTACTTTCTTCGCGTCTGAATTATGTATTATAAGTTCTTGCTATGCTGCTGTTCTTGGATTTATTTTAATTAATAACAGGATGTTAAGCTAATGATAACTCCAATAGTCTTAATGGTCAAGGGTATTACTTCACTTCCATAGAGTCCCGGATCCATATCAAAGTCAAAGTCAAAGTATCTTTATTCAATATAGGCTTAACTTTAGCTCTTATTGAACGTCAACAAAAAAACTACCACCGGTTCACTAAACTAGACCTGAACAGAGAAGAACCGGCAAGGAACTCTATAACAGTGGTTGGTGCTTTTTGCAACTATTTGTGGTTTATTCTTCTTCTTCTTCTTTTCGAGTCAAAATAGCTAGTTAGATCTTGTTCGACCAGTATTTGGCCACATCCACCGCAGCGGAGTTGGCTTCAAGCAGGTCTTAGTGGGTGCAGGAGGAGGGACACAACGGGCATTGCAGCAAGTGGGCCATAGTTTGGACCTCGCCACAGTGACATTTATTGTTGTTGGAGAAACCCCACTTCACCAGGTTATCCTGGCATCTTCCTACACCAGATCGCAGTCTGTTTAGGGACTTCCAAACTGCCCAGAGAAGATCACCACCCGGGGGGAGCCTCTCAACAGGAGGCAAACTTGCAGGGTGTTTAGGAGGGTACTTTTTATTCCACCGTTCCAGCCTAGCTTTTTGAGCGAGCCTCTCATTTAAGCTAGGCTATCTGAGAAAGCTGTTACGGTTTATCAATCTAATTTAACGTTTGGAGCGGTTTATATTGTGATCCGATGTGATCAATAGTTCACAGATTATACTTTTTAAATAGAAAAGTTAAAAACACAATTCGTTACAGGATGCTGGAACCTTATCAACCGAAATTCCAGCAGCAGCATCGGCAAAGTTGCGTACTTACTGAAAACACGGTTTCAGTACCACCGCACGTGAGTTTGATATTTTTAACATGACATTCAGGCAGTGCATGCTTTAAGTAGCGATAAAACGATAAAAGATAGTTTCAGTGCCGTGGGTGAGTTTATTTGGTATTTCTAACAGGAAGTTAAGACAATGTATGTACGTATGGCTTCTTGTACTAGCGATAAAGCTACCGAGACATGTCTGTGCAATGATAAAAATTGTGATTCTGTACTTATAGCCTATTATAGTATATTGTTACTTTTACTGTGCTTAACATTTAATGTGGGAATTAATTAAGAGAGTTGTCTTTTGAACAGCACCGGGCATCCGTGTCGCGCGGCTGTGTGCCCTACGAGTATGGGCCGTCATTCACCTCTTACCAGCCTTACGGATATCTTTCGTCTCGTCCGAGACAGGTAACGATTAAATTTAATCATTTATTTGCAATATAAGTGAACATTACATAAACACAATAAAGAAGTTCATATAAACTTAGGTGCTATTCCAGGCACTGTAATTTGTTTTTGGACACTGCTTACTTAAATACTTATTAAATCAAAAGCACTAGTAACAATCAATATAAATACGTTATTAAACATATGTTATACAATTATCTTCTAGATTTTTTTTCGAATGCAAATTTAAACCTGGTGCTTATTGGTATAATCAAAAACATGAAATTCTCAACCGACCACGAATTTCTCCGAGAAATTGTCAATACAATTAAAAAAAATCAAAACAGATCAACAGTCCTAAAGCGTGGAGGATTTATATTTAAATTTTGGTTCCGAACAGCAATATATAAAATTTTTTTTCAACATTTTGTAGTAAGAATTTTTTGTCCAGTAACTAACGGGCGAGGATTTGTTCACTATTCGTGCTTATTGTTTATTTTTGTGTAATTTATTAGTGATCCTGTTACTAGGCCTGAAATTGCGAAACATTTAAATCACGACACTCACGATCGGGAATGAGGGCACTCAGTAAAACGTTAACACCATAAACGACCTTCTTGGGCGAAGGGACGTGAGAGCCAATTGTTGTTTATTTTCTCGCAGAACTCCGTATTCGTGGGAAGCGTTGGGGGCATGGCTCTGATACCGGAGAGCCCGCCTAGACGGTCCCGGTCGGCTGCAGACCTCCCGGCGTTGGTCCCACCGGCCGAGATGTCGCGCGCCACCCCGAGGTCTTCGCGGGCCGCGAGTCTGCACAGCGCCATGGACCTTAGGGTCTGCGTGCCTTCCCCACGGACTTCCAGGGCGGCCAGCCTCCACTCGGCTGTGGAAACGTCAGGCTCTGTCCAAGTCCACGCAAGGGGCTCAGCCACCAATCTGCAAAGACCGAGGAGTCCTCGCAGACTGACTATAACAAATGTATAAACAAAACAAAAAGCTGGAAAATAAAAGATTCTATCCCGTTAAAATTAAGTTTCGGTATTTCATAATTCAAATAATATACATCAGCTATTGTAATACTAATATCTAGAGAAAAATTGTGGCGATAAAAGCCATGAATGACAAGATGTCAAGATAGTGACGATACAAATTCGTTTGATTTAAAAGTTAAGTTAGTTAAATGTTAGAAAAATAATGTAAGTAAATCGGGGAGGACCAAAGCAGTATATTGAGTGGAACAACGTTCTTGAATAAATTTTAAATATCAATTTACTTTATTTTTTATTTCTGTCTTTGACTTTAATTATTTCACTTAATTTAAATTTTTATATTAAGTTTTTAAAGTCGACTTCAGATACCCTATAAGCAATATCTGCACATTAAATGCATATACTAAAACTTACATCAATAAATTTCAATAAATCATAAAATTTCATAAAATCGTTCGAATTTTTCTATACATTATCTATTTATTTAGAGCGTAGGAAATATCGATGCGGGTCTGTACAATCAATCAATAGATATTGAATCCAAAATCAGTCATTTGATAAAAAAAATAGTATTAACAAAATAGCTCTCATACATTTTCCTTGAAAATAATAAGCTTAGTATCATCTCATCAAATCTTGAGACCAACCATTTATCAGTGCACAAAAGGTGCATTTAATTAAACTAATGTTCATAGCTTTCTTCATTAAAGCAATCATATATACTACTCCTAAATATTTTCATTTATACTTGCTATATTCACGACTCCAATCACGTAAAAATTAAAGGTCATCATTACCAAAGTGTTCTCCAAAACCTAACCAGACGAAGTACTTTACAGAAAAGAAAGAAAGTAGAAAGAAATAAAGGAACCCTTACAAAAAAGGATGTTAAAAATAAGCGATTTCCGACTACAAAATGATAAATGGATACAGACGTACAGACATTTTGATCAATAATATGAATGAATGATTTGTTATCATCCTTTATATTTTACCTACTTATCTTACAAATAATCACTATTTAATAGTGACATATAATCATTTATTTAACAAAAATGTTTCTATCTTGCATACTGTTTACCAAGTCCCTATGTCTGAGCCTTAGTTTTTAAGCATTCGCACGTTCATGATTCCTTACATTTTCCTCTCCTATTCTTCTCTAACTATTTCTATAACAAGAATATTAAAACTAAAAGATAATATTTAGATGTTTCTTACTCTTAGATTAGGATTCATAAGTCAAGGATTTTAAATTTTATATTCTTATCCCTCTGGTAGATTCTTTAGAAACCCTACTTCTTTTCATCATATCTGTAGTATTTAAATTATTAAGTAAAGTGTGTAAACTTAACTTGTATAATGTATAAAACAAAGCTTTGGACTTGTGGTGATAGTTTGTAGAAATACTAACATATTTCATTTAAATATTTCGTAACAAATTGATAATCGATTTAAAATACGTTCCCCTCATATTTTCTTCTCTCCTTTCTTCTTTTTTTACCTTAATTTTAATGTTGTGGGTATTTGTATTCTTTAAAATTATTCAGTTTAAATAAACTGATAAAATATTGATAATCGAAAGGACTGTTAAAATTTATATATCAACTTTCTCAAACTTGATAAACGATATCAACTGAGATATGAAATATCTGTTTACCACATTATATTCATCTATTGTTCAAAAGTTTAATTTTAAGATAATATCAAAGGCCAAAATAAGCACACTTGTAAATATTAATAAAAAGTTAATAAGGAATCTTTATTTATATTTCATTAGTTGAATACTCAATAAAAGTTGCAAAAAATATTAACATAAGCTAAAATATCGCCTTGAAATTTATACATTAAATTTAGTATTGAATAGAATTTCAATCAAAATTTATTTATAAATTGTAATTTAAAATCAGAGAATATGTAATAGATTAATCCTTAAAGATGAAAGCATATTACGAGTACTTTTCAACGTCAAATCAACTATAAATCGAGTAGTACCTACTGTTTTTATTCTTCATTTTCTTTTCATAGGCGTATTCCCGTCAAAGTTTCATAAAACTATCATCGATTTTACTGCCTCGTGGCTACTTACATGCCGTCCTCGATCGATAGCTCCATTTGTAACGTAACGTGGTATGTCAACTACGTCAATTCCTTTACCATCTTGTTCGTTTCCCAGAATCACATTACGAACGATACATTTACATAATATATTGAATTATTTAGACTTTACATGGGTAATGAATCTATTTACAAACGAGGCGTATAAATGTCAATATATTTTTACAAATTATTCATATTCTGTACAATGTATCAAGATTACTTGATATTTGATAACGAAATGATTGCGATCATTTGAAAAATATTTGTTAACTTTTAATATCATAATATTTTCCTGTAAATGAAACAACGATCGATTGACCGTTAATCTTTTTAATCATGTAAGTAATTCTAATAATATACAAGTATTTTTATAAATTGTAAAACACAGAAGTAGTTATTGTAAAATCAATTTAACTAGTGTAGTGAAACAATGAAAGTCTCTAAATAAAATGTTAATTTCAAGGATGATAGTAATAAAGAAAATAAAAACTATTCATGTTTTATTTATTTCAACTACTGCTGGCATTTTTATAACCGGGTTACGAGGTTTTATTATTTTACTCACCGAGTTCTTTCCTGTATTTTGATAGAACTTCTAAAATCAATTTATTATTTTTGTTTTTTTCTCGTTGGTTAGCTACCATACATTTCACTTGAATGCCGGGCTAAGAATACGACAATTGTTAGTTTTATTATTTTTATGTAGGTATTTATTGTTTGTTCAAATAACAAGTGCCTTTAAGTATTTAGTAAAAATTATTTGTTTTTACTACATTAATATTATTATTGAGCCGTGATAGCTCAGTGTCCGGGCGCTCGCCTTTAATTCAATATACCTACTCGAGCAACCTGAGTTCGATCCCCGATGCCGGCACCAATGAAGTTTTTAACTGTAAGTGCTGACTTATCAGGTGCTCCGCGGTGAAGGAAAACATCGTGAGGAAACCTGCATATTTTCGAAATAATAAGAAAAAAATATATATTTCGAAGATATGTGAAGTCCGCCAATCCGCAGTGGGGCCGCGTGGCGGACTATGCCCTGATACCCTCTGTATAGAGGAGACCTTTGCGCAGCAGTGGGCTTGTGGCACATGTATAGGCTGTTACTTTACTTTTTTTTTACTTTTTATATGAATATTTTAAAATTTGTTACTTTTCGTTGATACTGAATTTAGCAGATTTACATATTTTATGGTATCGCATATTTTATCTGCAGTACACTATTTTAAACTGCACACAAAAGTTAGTGTCCGTATTGGTATTCAAATAGTACTCGTTAAATTCTACAATTATCACTTATTATTAAAACTCCTAAAAGCATGTCACTGGAAATATGTTGTATGAAGTTTAAAGTCTATAAACTTTACAACACGATTAGTAGTTTTCATAAAACTTTAGTCCATACATTGACATCGCGAAATAAAAGCAAAGTTCCCTATAAAAATAAACAAACACGAAACTAGTTCAATATTTCAACGTTTCAAGACAATGTGACATTTACTTCAGCCCAAGACTTTTTAGCCCAAGAGTTGTATAGCCTTAATAGATACAATCTCTACGTTATGGTAATATATATCTCATTAGCCTTGAAAAGCCAACTTTTACAAAACTTCATTATGCAAATAACAGTCATTATGCATTATATGGATCAGACTTTCAGTTACTTATCGTAATGAGCGGTCAATGAATATATTTAAGAGTTCGGTCGACGACATATGCGCTTTAGATGATAGTTCATCTATCATCTAAAGCGCATATGTCCCTTCATCTTGAGTGCAGAAACTAGCACTGAAACTAAAAGTTGAATCTTTAAGTTATATATAAAGTTTTCAGAGCAAAGGTACATTTCCAATTCAAGATTTTGTATGATGTCGCAAGCTGTAAAGAATGCACCTCAGATGGTGCCAAGCATTGATACAAATGCGATAGCTCTCTCTATCACGCAGGCAGATGTCAAGATTTTTCCGCCATGACGTCATCGGCTGCTTATCTTATTTCGTAAAGCGTCTGGGTGCGAAGCCCGCAGCGGTGAAATTTTTGTTCTTATATTTACAAAAATTAACAAATGCTTTATTATTGAATCATATGGTGCTTATCCAATTACATGATTCATTCCAAAGTGTAAAATAACGTCATCATCGGCTAAGATTTTTGATAGTTACACTGACACGTGATACATTGGTAAAAGACAAGGGCCATACTGTACGTTAAGCATAAGACATCTTTGAATACCGTAAAGGGAAAATATAACTTTTAAATATGACTATTATTTTGCAGTTTTTTTTTTTCAAAAAAATATGAGTATATCGTTTCATTTCCGGCAATGAACCGCTATTGTGTGTCAACTGTGAAAAAATTTCACAATAGCGGTTTGACAAAACATTATAAATACATAACAGTTAACAGTAGACACACAATTAATAAGATTTTAGCCAAAAAATTGTGTTATTCATATTTTGAATTTTTTTCGGTATAGGCACATTTCGTGATAGCAGTTCTATATTTGTGAATATGTGTTATATTACATAATTAACGCCGCGTCTTGTAGCCTTTCCATTTGGCCCAAACCACTGTGTTCCATTTTAAAAGGAAGCACAAAAGCCCTTAAATTTGCTTCGAGCCGCGTGTCTAATACTCTTTTCGAGACTGGCAATATGCCAATGCATTTTTTTTTTGAAGATCAAGTTTATTTTAGTTGAACAACTCAAAAGTTTAATAAGTTTGACCAAGACCATTCATGCCATTCATTTTTCCAACTTAAAACATAAATTTTCAAAACTATAAGTAAATATGCAAAATTCTTTAAAACTTTTTTTCTTTCTTCCAGGCAGTTATCTAGTCCAGAGATGCAGACTTCTGTCTACAATACCAAGTGTTCTTATATAGTAGATGTTCAAGTGCATCCAAATTGGTTATGTTTTATGGAGAAAAGGGGCAAACGAGCAGGAGGCTCACCTGATGGTAAGTGATTACCGCCGCCCATGAACACCTGCAACACCGAGGGCTCACAAATGCGTTACCGGAAAATTAACAACATTTTTATGTATCCTAAAACGGCGGTAAAACACAAAATGTTAGCAACATTACATCTAGTAAAGTAACTTGGCGATTTTCTTGGCGAATTCTTTTTAACTCTTTAGACCTGTATTACAACCAAAGCATTTTACCATTGTTGCTTAACTACTGGATCGATTCGATCGATGCATTACCACACAATCTAACAAAACCTTAGTAAAATATAATAATTTTAACATATGTCTATTTCTTTGAAACCGTTCATGAGATGATGAACACGACCAGAAAGAAGAATTCTTGGCCAACGATGATGGGTTGGTTCACAATATAAGCATTGTGAAATATGCAATAACATTTTCTATGATTTTATGTAACTTATTTTTTTTAGTTCTTAATTAAAACAAAAGGAAAAGACATAAAAGTTTTGCCTCTTCATATTATTAACTACAGCTCCTTGATTATAATTTGTAACTACTAGGCGTTCTTTTAAAATATCAGTGGGGCATCACGTTGATATTTTAAAAGAACTCGTATCTGAAAATTGTCATCATTCAACTCCTTGCCTGAAGACATACGTATTGCCCCCTGCAAGGCCTCATTCAAACGCAAAGTCCGCGAATTTTACTTAACATCTGAATGTTAAATTTCATCATTATTTCAATATTGTTTATATGTTTATATTTATGTATATATGTTAATATTTTTATGTATAATATGTATGTGTTTATATATATATATTCTTTGAATATGTATGTAAGTATTTATATTTATTTAAGCGTGTGTATATTCCATAAATTGTATATTTCACTCACCACAATTTATCTCCACGCCCCGGGTTGACTGGGAGAGAATGCTTAAAGGCATTAAGTTCGCCCTTTGTAATCCTTGATTAAGGTAATTGCAATAAAGTATAAATAAATAAAAAAAATAAAAATCGGATATCACTCGTTAAGCTCTGGGTGTCAAAATGTTTAATATAGATTTGGTTACGTACACGTAAGCGTATGCACTATTGATATTTTTTAAAGATTATCTGATTTCACCATCACAATTGGTTGTGGGATATCGATTCACACTCTTGAGAACCAGTTTTAATTGAAATCATATACCACGGTCGCTAAAGTTGGTCTTGTTTTAAACAGCAAAGTAAAATGCTAACTGTTTTACTAGGATATAACATTCTGTTGCTTTTGTTCGTTTTTTAGGGTTCCATACACGTTCCAAAGGGTAAAACGTTTCCCTATTACAATGACTCCGCTGTCGGTCTGTCTGTCTGGCCGTCTGTCACCAGGCTGTATCTCATGAACCGTGATAGTTACAGTTGAAATTTTCTTGTGGGGCTTCCATAAAACGGACATGTTTTTACTGGCGTGTTTATAGATAATGGTACTCGTACTTGGCCTGCTTTGTATACATTTAACATTGTTATTGAACTGCCAGTTATTTCCATGTGAAACGATATAGAAATAAAAATGCGCTCGGTAATAAACTATTATAGAGTGAGCAGTACTGGTTAAAGTTAAGTAAAAAGTTTACGTTCAAACTCAACAAAACAAAGAGAAACTTGGCCTGTGAACATTGCCAAGAAAAGATAAATAAAACAAGCAACTCTGTATTTTATATTAAGTATTTCGAAATTAAATTTTTTAACGATCATAAAATTACTCTTTCTTCGTGGAAATAAAACTATAAGTTCTGTTATACGCATAACTTATCTTCAAAGCTAAACAGATTTGTCGAGTAAATAATTTTGTATGATTTTGTGTGATGATTGATTTGCAATAGTTACAGAACTATTTTGTGTGATTAGTTGTATTAAATTAATAGTTAATCAAAAACATTTATTACAACCAATATATGGAAATGATGTTTTATCCCCGTGTGTTCATTATGGCAACTATCAGACGATTTGATTTTTAGAACACATATTTTTTGTAAAATATTATGTATTATACTATAATGGCAAAATAATAATTTCCATTCATATAGCTATCCGTCAT